TAATTCATCAGACGCGCCTTATCACAAGCAAGAAAAATTTTTGCATCAATTAAGCAAACAGTTTTTGCCCTGGTTTCAACAAAATTATTTACATTCGCAACAAAATCTACATCATCAACAACAACAAAATCTACACCAACAACAAAATTTACACCAACAGAATCAACATCTCCACCAAGACAAACACGTCAATACGCACCAGGACTTGCAAACAGCTGATTGTCAATTTCAGTTAACAACAGCACAGCAACAGCCACAGCAACAACTACAACACGTTCAGCCGTTTCAAGTCGTAACAACAGATCACATCCAACAACAAATTACACATCAGCAACTAGATCCATTACAGCAAATCTTACAACTGCAACAACAGAACTCGATACAACATCATGTACCACGACAAAATTTAAAAGAAAAACACGTACAAATACCAGGGCAGCAGTTTTTACAACAATCATATTCATTTCAAACGCAACTTGAACCTAATATTGATTCATCAAATCAGCAATTACAACAAACACTTCCACAAAACTTGCAGCAGATGTTAGAATTTTTACAGCAGCAGCAGCAACAACAAATGAATGACCCAGAACATTCACGACAACAATCAAGTTCTTCACAACAACTGCAACAACAACCCTACTCCCAACAACTTTTACAAACGCAAAAACGGCACGAACAACAACACGAACAGCAAAAAACTGATCATCAACACAGGCAGCGGAAGCATTCAACGTCATCATCTTCTTGCCAAACAGACGACCTCGACATAACGCAGCTGCTGAAACAGAAAATCATCGAAGACTTCATCTCTTATCAAAACCAGCGCGCTCCTAACACACTCATCAACCTCAGCCAAATTCACAGTCCCATCTTTTTCTCTCCTCCCTGCTTTAAAGACAACAGCACCTACACGGATAGCGACTCACGAAATTACCGGCGGCCCGATATCAATTGCTCTCCTAGTTCCGAAAAAACAATGGACGAACCTGGGACGCATCCAGACGACTTTCCGACTGAGACTGATTCTGTAGCATCTTCAAGGTTATCCGGCCCATCATCATCTTTTTCGTCATCTGCAAACTATCAGCACAGACGCAATCCTTCCAGCATTAGAATAAACGACGATTCTAACATGCCTTACGATGATCCTGATATGAGGTTAGATGAAAACACGAAGATGAAGATGATGATGGGTGATGATGTGGCCACAGATGAAGTAGTTGATGGTACCACAACAAATGCTGGCTACAACAAAAATAGTTCACGACCTTCAAAAGTTTCACCTCCCGAGTTAGAACTGAGAGAAAAATTTGTTGATCAATCTGAACATCATCTAGAGCAGCTTCAATTAAGGCAGAAACAACAAAATGAACATGAAAACCAGAACTCAAAAAATCAGTCAACTCAACCGTTGATTCAAGAGCTGACAGCAACAACAACATCACAGCAATCCGCACCAGTTAAAATTGAAAAACAAACACAGCTGCACTTGCAACCACAACAACAACAATCGCAACAGCATCAACTTTTCCAGCCACAACATCAACAAAACAACGGTAACTTGAAACGACCCACAACGTTAAACATCGAAGAAACCACCAAAAAACTACAAAATGATAAATTTTCAGGTTTGTTTCAAAAATTCAACGCTGGCTCACAACAACAAAAAACTAACCAGCATTCAAGTCTGCCTGCGCAAAAACAACAACAACCGACAACTAAACCAACAACGACATCAACATCAGCACATGCAACTACATCCACCACAACGTTTTCAAAGTCAGCAGCTGCAATTACGATAAAAACTACGGTGACAACTGCTTCAACAAAATCTACAACACTTGTGACAACGACACTCGCAACGAAATTGACAACTACAGCAACTTTAACGACGTCAGCAAAATTATCAACAACTACCACTGCAGCAGCAAAAATAACAACATCAACATCGACTAAGTTAACAACGACGTCAACAACAACAAAACCAGCAACCACGCCCCAAATTATTACAACCACAGCAGCTACAAAACCTTCATTGATCCTTCCGAAAACGCCAATATCAACAACCGTCTCCTGTAATCCATCTTCAACTCAACCAACAACAAATCCGTCAACATTACGAGCCCCATTTTTAGGGCTTGGAATGAACAGCACAAAAACTTCTACAACCACAACAACGCCGTCAACCACAAAACCTTTCAACGTACCCACAACTACTGATAACAAATTTACAATCAAAAAACCAGAACCGGCTAGCGTTACAAAATCGATACCGACATTACACTCAGTTACCGAATCGAAGTCGGCTAATGTAACATCGGCACCGAGAGCACCGAGTACTAGATTAGGGGACCATTTTAGCGCCATTAGATCAAAATTCTCTGGCAACTCGTCTGCTAAATAGGTTTTTTTTTAAATATAAAACACCGTTTTGTCCTGTTAGTTTGAATATTTATAAACTTGTGCTAACTTAATTAATTAATTAATTAAATTTAATTAATTAATTTTGTTTATGTTGTTAGATTATTATTTTAGGTATAATAAATGTATATATTTATTATTTAATTAATTTTCTAAAATTGTATTATAAGTTAACTTATAGTGATATCATTACAAACCTATTGTCAACTAATGTACATACATTATTATAACATACGTGCACGTGTAAACTTCACATACACATACAGTATACGTTCACCTGCATACATGCATGCACATATACATCACATACACATACATACAAACAAACATACACACATACATACATACATGACACATACACACATACAAACATTAAAATACGCAATCAATCATACATGTATTTGTATAGAAAAAACAATTTTTTCTTCTACATTAATTTGCATGTGTGTGCATCTCTCATTAATTAATAATAATAATAATAATAAAATTTACTTTTAAACTATTGAACTATTAAACTATTATACTAATAAATATAGGAAATACAATTTTTTCTGAAGTCTTCGAGAACTTTTATTTTCTGACGAAAAAAAAATGTATTAAAAATTTGACATGATAAATTTATTTTTAGACGGAAAGGTTTTTAATAAGGAGCAATAATAGCAAAACTAATGATAAAAAATAAATTAATAATAATATAATAATAATAATAATATAATAAAAATAGATAAGTGACGTCATAAATGACGAAAAGAAATAATGAAGAAAAACAAAAAAAAATATAAACATTCAATCAAATCTATAGACAACAACAACAGGAGAATCGACAACGTTAGATCAGTAATCAACAACCATAACTGTTATTATTATTATTATTATTATTAAGTTGTTGTTGTGATTATTGTTATTATTATAATTATTATTAGTAGTAGTAGTGGTTGTAGTCGTAGCATCAGTTGTAGTAGTTGTGGTAGCAAAAGCAGCAGCAGCAGCAGCAGTACATTTAAACAAATAAACAAACGATCAAACAAACAAATAAACAAACAAGCAAACAAACAAACAAACATTTCCAGCTATGAAACGCTTGTTCTATGGCAATAAATAAAAAACCAACAACGAAACAACAACAAAAGCGAGATAAAAAAAAATAAGTTAACTATTGTTGGAAACGTGAAGATGAAGATGATGTTGTTGACGTTGTTGTTGATGTTGTTGTTGATGTTGTTGTTGATGCTGTTGTTGTTGATGTTGTTGTTGATGTTGTTGTTGATGTTGTTGTTGATGAGATTGACTTTATTGATATAGTAATAAGAATGATAACAGTTATGGCTATGATAATGACGATTGTGATGAAGATGACGACGATGAAGATGATGATGATGGTGATGAAGATGACGATAATAGTGATGAAGATGATGATAGACGATGGAAAAGATGGTGATAAGAATGAGGAAAGAGAAGAAAGGAAAAATAAAACGTTAACATAAAATAACGCTCGCAACAACACACACACACGCACACACACACACACACACACAAACATTGTATAAAATATTAAACACACACACACGCATACACACACACACACGCATAAACACACACGTACACACCTATACATACAATTAGACTTATCAGTATGTATTGGTATTAGTACAGACGAATGCAAATAAACATTTATTAAATAGAGAATATACAAAGATGCATTTATGTATGTATATATATATATATATATATATATATATTTGTGTATAGAGCAAAATAAAAATAAGGCACATTATGAGTGCAAAGCACAAAAAATAAAAACAAACAAACAAACAGAATATACAAAACAAAACAATATATACAAACAAATTTTTACCTTTTTTCCATATGTGTAATGTATATAAACATTCATAAATATACATGCATACAAACATGCATATATACTTACAAACAAACATACATACATACACATACAAACATACAGACATACATATATACATACATACACACATACATACATACATACATACATACATACATACATACATACATACATACATACATACATACATACATACATACATACATACATACATACATACATACATACATACATACATACATACATACATACATACATACATACATACATACATACATACATACATACATACATACATACATACATACATACATACATACATACATACATACAAAACCTTGCATTCCATAATCATCATTCAACAAATCAACAAAATTTGAAAAATGCATATATGCTATTTTATCACTGTTTTCAAACATTTTATCATTATCATTATCGTTATAACATGAATAATAATAATATTTATTATTTGTATAACTATTTATATTATTATTATTATTATTATTGTATTAGATATATTATTGTTATCATTATAATTTTTTTTTGTTCTTTATTAACGTCACGTTCCCAATACAAATATATACATAACCGACTTGAAAAACTGCCTAATTCGCTACATTACTCACAGGTTTACCATCACACGCACACAAACTTATACACACACTTACGCACACACAACACACACATACACACACACACGCACACACATACGCACGCACACACACGAGAGAATTCGTGTTCACCAGCTCATCAAAAAAAACCTTCCAGTGATATTTTAGTACCAATTTGTATTCAAATAATTAACTGCCAGACAAAGTTTGAATTTCGTGAGGTTTGTGCTGCAGTTACACACAACTCTAAAATCAACTGCTACTATATCAAACTAAATTACGATTGTAATAATAGTTCATTCCTTGCACGTATCAAACTTTATCAGCCAGTAGTTCATCATCATCACGTAATGATGATAAACGAATGTTTGTAACATTGTATCAACAATCAAACAAATACAGCAAGAGAGTTTTATGTATTTGTATAAATTATCTGTGCCGTTAATAAGCTAAAATGATCCTGTTTAAAATTTAGATTCGACAAATGCTTATTTATTACTCCATCCTGACCAAAGGGTGAAATCAAATTTTTTCTTCATAGATGTAGTACGTTGATTCAACCTTTGTGACGTGTGACGTATCTGTTCATATGTAAAGACGTGAAACACACCACATGACACACGACGCTTCTACATACACGCGCCAGAACCACACCGTATGATCAGCATTTGAACCAGGTCAGCGCGTAACAACAAACATGCGGAACATGGCATCTCTACCGTCTGAGCTAAATAATCACATAAACTAAATGACATATTGTATTGCATGCATCACTATAATGATATATATTACCAAATAACACAATGATACATCATCATCCATACAAATAAATCAAAATCTAATATTATACTGCAACACTACAACATTACTTTATTACTTTATTATATTTTACTCTGCTGTTACATCATTCTGCGCGTGCATACGCATACACATACACACACACACAAACACACACACATAAACACACACACACACACAGAGGTTCAATTTTATGGTGTTTAGTGTTTCTTGCGAAAAGAATTTTAGTACGTGCTACTACGGGACGTGGTTTTAACAATGGCAATAAAATGAGAATATAAAAACAATTGCAATAGCAATAATTTCGACAGCAATAAAAATAATAATAACAATATTAATAAAAATAAAAATAATAATAATTTTTATTATTATTTTTTTGCCGTTATAAGTTTTTAATGGCCTGCTAAAGTAATTTAATCCCATTATTATAAAACAATACCTTTGATTGGTGGTAGTAACAACAGTAATAGAATAATAATATTAACAACAATAATAATAATATTAATAACAATAATAATTATAATACAAATAATGAGAAAATAAAAATATAAGTGCAATAAAATGGGAAAAAATACCGGTGAAAATATTCAGCTGTCGTTCCCTCTGTGTTTTAACATCGATGTTTATACTATTCTGTGGAGATAATGATGAAGATATAGTAGTAGTAGTAGTAGTAGTAGTAGCAGCAGCAGCAGTGGTAGTAGTAGTAGTAGTAGTAATGGTAGTAGTAGTAGTAGTGGTAGTAGTAGTAGAAACAAGAAAAAAGCCCGTTAAAATATTTTCTTAACACAGATGTACGTATGACGTGGTCCTACAGTCGGTATCAGCAAACACTGTTATCTTAGTCGAACTGACTGTACCGTATGAGGTTAATATAGCAGCAAGTCACGCCATCAAAACAGCCAAGTATGAAGAGCTTGTTAGTGAGATAAAACAAGGTGGATTAAAGTGTTTGTTGTACGCAGTTGAGGTTGGTGCAAGAGGTGTTGTTGGTTGTTCAATGTACAGCTTTTTGAAGGATTTGGGTTTGGCAGGTAAAAAGCGATCAAGTATGAAGAACATAGGACACACAACCGAACAAGCATCTTACAGGATATGGTCATATAGGAAGAAAGAGGAATGCGAGTTTAAATAATTAACAGACGAGCTCGAGTGCACGTAAGGTTTCCGATTACTCAACACTTCCAGATTCGGCTTAACGTGTTACTTGGCTCTTCGATATAACTCACATCCTGATATGTTTATATGTGAACTTTCTGTTCTGCAAGAGACATCCAACTGATCTCTGGATGTGACCCTGTTTCTCGAGAGAGTCAGGAAGTAAAAGGGCCGAAATACTCGTTGACTGAAACTGTTTCTCTGAAGAATCTCGCTGAACGCTAGTTACGTTCGAGTTTCTACATACATACATACATACATACATACATACATACATACATACATACATACATACATACATACATACATACATACATACATACATACATACATACATTATAGGATTATCATGGCGGCGAGACCGGTTGTAATTAGCGAAGTTCTATATTTTTTGGTTGGTAACTTCGACTTATTTGATAATGAGACGTTTATAAATAATACTGCTGAATTTTTCTCCAACGAGGACTTTATTGACGCTCAAAAAATTTTGAAATTAGAGTTGGAAAATGTTAAAATTGAAAAGTTTGAAAAACCTACTTCACGTGGCAACACAAGGCGCGATAAACTGTTAGTATTAACACAAATTCTTATTTTTTTGAAAGAGGAAAAACTTATGGATAAGTGCTCAATATTTGCCAGCGTTAATTTATCTAATGTTCCTAACTTCGAAAATGTCATCAAAATAAACTTTGAAATTCTGAAAAATGAATTAAAAAATATGTTGTACACTCAACATAACAAACTCATACAAACACTTGACGTGCACACGCAAGATATAACTTCTTTGAAAAATAAATTAGGCAAACAATAGACGGC